GCGCCATTCCCCTCTACGGACCGGATACGTGCGCTTTTTTGCTCCTCAGTTCAGTTCCCCATGGCGAACCCTGTTGGAGTTCCTCCCGCACCCTCGGCAGTCAGGCGTGGCGGAGCGCCAGACGCCAGGTTCAGCACTCGTGTGCATGCCCAAGGTCAGCCCTTGTGCTGGGCTAGGTGCCCGTGTGTAGTGATTCCCCCTTCGGGTGATCCCACATGTGTATTCTTCCACGGTACGGCTCCCCTCACGGTAAGCCCGTGTCTTTCCCTGGCAGTCGTTCACTGCCATCTCTGCTGCGTAGTGATCTCACCCCAGGCGGGTTGAGTCTACCGCAGGGACTTCCATATGTAGTACTAACCTGAGGGCCAGTCCATATGTGTAATTTCCACATGATACCGCCTATGTGCGGGATGTGGCTTCCGTAGCGTCCCAACTGGGTACGCCAACTGTCATTGGCTTGTTTAGTTAACACTCGAAGGTGATTGGGCTCTCGGGCGAGATCCCAATTCGTCAGTCACTGACGGAACGTCTCCGTTCCCTCCTTCAGGGAACGAGGGTTACACAAGTAACCTAGACGTTTCATATCAGCCAGGGATCCTCAAATCTGGCTCACACTTTCCTGCAGAGTTTAGCTCTAACCCTAATCAAACTCATCTGAGTATGCTAATCAGTGTCTTCAGGATCATTAGGAAATCACAGGTGGGTGAGATTGATCAAAGTTGGAGCTAAACTCTGCAGGAAAGTGAGTTTAATGAACCGGATCCCTGAAATAGGCCGATTTGCTTTTCATAGGGTGTTTGAAAATACCCCTTTCAGTCAAGTCCTCCTTATTCTGAAGTTGAGATTGAGAAAAAGGTGTGGTTGCAGAATTCAAGAGACAGAGCGGGTGGACAAAAGGAGCGCCACCACCATCTTCTGACTAGTTGAGAGACTTTGGGGGAAGATTGAGCTTTGCCAATTAATACTTTAGCACATCAAAACACATTTTCAGCAGCGGTCAAAGTAATAATTTGGTATTTTTTATTTTTATGTTAATTTGTACAGGGTATATACAGGAATCATGGAGTTAAATTTAATACCTTTTAAGACCTTTTTTAAGACTTTCCATACATTTTAAGACCTCGTCGCCACTCCAAGTTTTAACCCGTTACATCGGCAACACTTTAACTTACATTTACTATATATTAATTGTAAGATAGCACAACTAAACAGACTTCCTTTGTGATAACTCCTTATAAATACAACATAATTCAGAAGGGGGAACGAAGCACAAACTAATTAATTGAGTGACTAACCAATGCAACCCACGAAACAAGAATTAGACCAATAAACAAAACAACTGACAAAACGTATTGAGGAGGGAAAATAAAACTCTCCGAGCTAACGGGGCAATAAGTTCACACAGTATATTCAAAAGTTGTATTTGTAACATCAACTCTTATAACTGTCTGCAAACCATAGCTGTTCCGTGGAACACTTCTCATGACAAAAATCTGACTGATCAGACAGTTTACCTGTGATTACAGAGTGCTTGATTTGATGCAGACTTGACAGAGTGTTAGTACTGCACCTGATTGGGTCTGAATGATTATGGAAGGTAAAATAATTATCACAACTATTACATCATTTTAATTGTGCATCCCAAGCCCATGCCAGTAAAAAAAAAGCCCAAAGTAGCGCGCAAATTACCATGTCCCAAATATAAAAATGGCATTTCCATCCCTAAAATACATATTTTACAGTCACTGTTGTTATGCACATTTATCATAAACACAGTTCAAATACTTCCTACTAGTGTGGCCCAAAACATTTAGCACATATTTATTACAGGTAGAATGCAAAATATTTCAGTACAAGCATTTTAACCAAATGTAAATTATGCAATATTTCAAAACTTTAACCCACTGGGGAAAATCAACCCATGGCAACAGTTTAAAAGCAGCCCAATTTCATGGAAAAAAAACGACAACAACCCTGCATCCAACACGAGCTGCAGAAGTCAGATTTAACTGATCACGGGTCAAAAGTAAGGAGAGATAACTGACAAGATGTTGGAGGATTGGCTCCTCAACAGATCCCAAGCTCATTGACAAATATCTTTTATCGTAAGATGTGCTCCCTTTACAAAATGCACGTGCGATCACGAAATCGAAAGTGAAATGCGACTGTGAGTGCTCATTCAAAAGGGATTTAAATACCCCACATATTGATGGTGGCACCCTGATGCGCTAAAATTATATACAATATTAGAATGTTTGCGGGAGCAGACACAAAAATCGCAGGAGCGGATGGGAGAATGCGGTAATGGTCAGAAATTCAGTGAGAGCAGGATCAACAAGCTCCACGCTATCATGCAGGTGCACAGTCAGTCAGTGAGCACCGTAACAGATTAAGTCAAATCTTACGGGATTCCGTAAATAAACTACACAGAACCCCACTATTCAGACAAATATACAATGAAAAGATGACACAAAATTTAATTGGCATTTGGCATTGGAAAATGGTATTTAAGACTTTTAAATACTTTTTAAGGGCCTTAATTTTCTCTAAATTGATTTATCAACTTGTAATACTATTTAAGACCCTGCGGACACCCTGTTGTAGTATTTTTTATATTTGTATAGATAATATGTAGTCCCTTTCAGAGTGTTAAATTAGCTGTATTAACCTGAATTGAATGTTTTCTATTTTGTATTTAATAAATCCATTGATTTGAAATCCCTTTGACTACTGAACATTTTTGACAATACAGACATTAGTTATGTGGTGACTGCATACATTTCAGATATATAATATCAGTTTTTCCCAAAGACTTAAATTATAGTAGCTAAAAAGTATTTATTGTTATTTATTAAACAGCTTTATTGTTGTAGATTAACAGGGCGTGTTGGCATAGTGAGGGCTTCCTGGGGTTAAGTGAGGGCTGCCCGTGCAGGGCCATTGCTAAAGGTCGAACGTTTTGCCAATGAGCAAATTCTGGCGCTGGTAGCCCGCTGGGGGCCCTTAGGCTAGCCCACAGCAGGCTTATTTGCAGGGTCCTCTAGGTTAGTAGTGCCATGTTCATGACATTTTGCTTGGAGAACAGGGTCAAGACCAGCTACGAACTGTCTAAATCTATCCATGACAATAATGGACTCGCCATAATTTGGAAATGCTTCCAAAACCAGTTTTGTGATCTCTGCTGCAAATACTTCCAAAGGTTCTTTGGGCATACGTGGTCAGGCATTCACAAAAGTTTTAAAATGCAGCAAAAATTGTTTTCTCCCAAAAACATAATTTAATGCAGCAACACACAGTTCATAGTTCTGTTGTATGTCAGGAGACAGGGAGAGCCAGTAAGTTAAAGCATCTCCACTCAACCTCATAGACAAAATGACGGCCAAATCGTGCGTTTGTGCATCAGCACTTTGTGTTGAACTCTTTGCGTTCCACTGTAGGTGCAGATTCATTATCGGCACTATCATTAGGGGACAAAGCACATGCGGGAAGCATGCGAGAATTGGTAGACATTTTCACTAAGTAGTTGCTGTTTAACTTGTAACGAAGCAAGTGGTAAAGTCATCCACTTCAATTAAACTGACGACTTTTCACTGTGCACTCACTAGAACGTTTCAGGGTGCAATAAAAAATGTCTTTGTTCTAAACTAAGAAACTTCTAGAAACTGCTGCCAGTCTGTAACCTTTATTTTTAGCTGCGAATGCTCCAGTCTCTTCTGCATGGATAACATAAATAAAACACAGGTTACCAGGGTGATAATTAATGTTTCTTCTTTTAATCAGACAAGGGCAGGCGCACAAAATATCTTTCTAAACCATAAATTGACAAAAAGTGAAATAAAATAATGAATTCAACATAAAGTTACACTATTATGGAATATGGACTCATATTTTGGCCAGAAGCAATGGCTTAAAGTTAAAACGTCCTATCAATGGATTCATTGGTGAGCAAATGATACAAAGCAAAATGTTTGTGAATCTGTTCTGACTAAGAAACAAACTCTTTGTTAGCCTGATGATGAGTAAATGTTCAGCAAATTCTTTGGGCATATGTGGTCGGGCGTTCACAAAAGTTTGAAAATCCAGCAAAAATGGTTTCCTCCCAAAAACATAATTTAATGCAGGCACAGTTCATAGTTCTGTTGTATATCAGGAGATAGGGAGAGCAAGTAAGGTAAAGCATCTCCACTCAACGTTGTAGGCAAAATGGCGGCCAAATCTTGCGTTTGTGCATCAGCACAGGCCTTAACTACAAGGGAATTTGGTACATCTTTGATAGCCTGATAATGAGAAAATTTAGTTTGGATTATTCCTTTAAAGTATATTTCAGTTTTTCTTAAAAAAGGAAATGTAGAGAACACCACAAACATTGTTTATATGTTTTAAAAGTATAATGATTACATGGGAATATAGGTTGTCTTTCTGCTGCTTACATTGTGCTATGTGCTTGTTTCAGGTGTGCCTGGTGGCAGATTCTGTTGGTGGGGTTCTTTGTTTTGACGCCTTGTGTTTCAGTGCTGACAAGCAACACAAAAGTCCTGAGGGTGGCAGCATGAACAACAGTACAGAGAGTCTGAAGGTGCAGATAAACATGCACGCACACAAAACCACCCTGAACTCCTGCCTTTCTATTCTGTTTAGAACTGACTGTCATTCTGTCCTTATCTGACATAAATCAATGTCTGCTTGAGTGAATCCTTCACATCTCTATCCTTCAAAGCTTTTTTATCCGTTCTCATGTCTAAATGTCATAGGGCATTTTTTCCCATTCTAGTTTGTCTCCTCCTCAGCTTTCTCCCTGTCTTTAAGGATTCATTTCTGAAAATTTGTCATACTTCATGTTATTTCAACCCATATTGCTTTCCTTCTGTCCAGAGTTTAATTTTTACCCAGTGTGTCTACTATTTGTAACAGTATTGCAAGATTTCCAGTGACCATGTCTATCTGTGTTTCTTGGTGCTGATGGTTTAATAAAAGCTCAGTCACCTGTGTAGTGCCAGCGTGTGATAAAGGAACACCACATGGCACATCAGCTGATGAGCAGATGCCTCAGCAACAGTGGAACAGAGGCAGACAACCCAGTTTAGGGTTCAATGAGTCACTCTGTTACACATGTGGCTATGTTGCTTGAGGTGCATTGTTGAAGAGTTCATATCCCACAACCCCAACACATTACCCAGTTACTTTTACAGCAGCCTTGAATACAGAGGGAAGAAATGAATTAGGAGAAAACAATTAGGAGCAAAAAAGACATAAATGGGGTGTGCTGGGGTGAAAGGAGTGAAGTTGATGGTCTAATTGTAGGTGTTTAAAAAAAAAAAATTAAACAAGAAGATAAACCAAAAGAGTAACTCCCAAATACAATGTATTACATATAAACAGCATATACCAGAACCAAGGAAACAAAGAGAACAGGAAATAAACAGAGGAAATATGAAGACAGAAACAATGGAACAAAATGAATATATTTAAAGTCTCTGAAATGTCAGTCAACAGAAAATATGTACAGTGGTGTGAAAAAGTTTTTGCCCCCTTCCTGTTTTTTTTAATTGTTTGCATATTTGTCACACTTAAAAGATTCAGATTATCAAACAAATTTTAATATTACACAAAGATACCCTGAGTAAATACAAACTGCAGTTTTGAAATTATGATTTCTTTTATTAAGTGAAAAAAGCGGTCCAAACCTGCCTGGCACTACGTGAAAAAGTAATTGCCCCCTAAATCTAATAACTGGTTGTGCCACCCTTTGCAGAAATCAAGCGTTTGCGATAAATGGCAATGAGTCTTTCACATGAATGTTGGCCCACTCTTCTCAAGTTTTCTCCATTTGTGGATAATGGCTCTAACCATGGTTCGCTGGAGTCCCAAAGCCTTAGAAATGGCTTCATAACCCTTTCCAGACTGATACATGTTAACAATTTTTTTTCTCATCTGTTCTTGAATTTCTTTAGATCACGGCATGATGTGTTGCTCTTTAAGCATGCTTTACTTTGTCAGACAGGTTCTATTTAAGTGATTTCTTGATTCAACAGGTCTGGCAGTAATCAGGCCTGCATGTGGCTAGTGAAATTTAACTCAGCTTTCTAAAATTATGTGGTTAATCACAGTTCTTTCATGATTTAAGAGGAGGGGCAATTGATTTTTCATGTAGGGCCAGGTAGGTTTGGACAGCTTTTTTCCCTTAATAAATGAAATTATCATTTAAAAACTGCATTTTGTATTTACTTGCATTATCTTTGCATAATATTAAAATTGGTTTGATTATCTGAATCTTTTATGTGTGAGAAATACGCAAAAAATTAAAAAAACAGGAAGGGGGCAAAAACCTTTTCACGGCACTGTATGTACTGTATGAAACAGTTATGGGAATTTGGTTATTATACACAATTTGTTAAAATAATTTTCATTGAAATCACACATAATTTGTGGCATCTATAGAAGCATATATCCTCACTTTAAGGACCACAGAGTCCATGGTAGGTTCATCTTGAAAGGTCTACAGGTTTCAATTTGGAGAAAATTAATGGGATTTATACTGCTGTTGCAATGTACAGTATTTCATTTACAATTTAACCTAACTTTGTGATTGGCAGTATAGTGTTTCTAGAGGCCGTTTGTGAATATGAAAATAGATTCGATGGTGGGAACTTTAACCTAAAGTGTAGGAGCCAAAACGTGTTTAAAAAGGTAATGTGTTATTCTCATTTTGACTATTGAGTGGTGCTGTGAACATTACAGAGATTTCAGTGTATATAGGTTGCCTTCCTACTGCTGTAGGTAGGTGTTGACTCGGAAGGGCAAAAAGTTTTACTACTACTAGGCATGGGCCGATTACCGGTTTTAAGGTATACCGCGATTTGAAAATTTCACAGTTTCAAAACCACTAATATTCTCTGTTATACCGTTCCTGCAGTATGCACTGTTTTTCATGTCTCCTCAAAGACTGAAAGTGTAGGAATCCCTCAGGTTGAGTGCAGTGAAGAGAGTAACACGACCCTCCTCCTCCTGTTGGTGCGAGCACGGTCAGTCACGTGTGTGTAGGATGGCCGAACTTAAAGGGTTAGTTCACCCAAAAATGAAAATTCTGTCATTAATTACTCACCCTCATTTCGTTTCAAACCCGTAAGACCTCCGTTCATCTTTGGAACACAAATTAAGATATTTTTGATGGCATCTGAGAGCTGTAGACGTAGGCATAGACAGCGGCATAGACAGCAACGCAACTGAAATGCTCCCAAGTCAAGAAACGTAGCAAGGAGAATAAAATAAAATAACGACTTCATTCAACAATTCGTCTCCTCCGCATCATCCTGGTGCCATGGAAACAGATCCGGCGTGACGCAGCTGACACAGAGCAGCATACGTTGTTTACGTCCAGCAGATATTCTCCAAAATGGCACCAGGGAGATGTGGAGGAGACGATTTGTAGAATAAAGTAGTTTTGGGGGGGGGAGGTTTACACACAAAAAGTATTCTCATAGATTCGTATAATTGTGGTTGAACCACTGATGTCACATGTATTATTTTACAGAACTCCTTACTACGTTTCTGGACTTGGGAATATTTCAGTTGCATTGCTGTCTATGCAGGGTCAGACAGCTCTCAGATTCCATAAAAAATATCTTAATTTGCGTTCCGAAGATAAACGAAGGTCTTACGGGCTTTGAAACAACATGAGGGTGAGTAATTATTGACAGAATTTTCATTTTTGGAGCTGCCCCTGGAACTTTCGAGATCGGCAACCGGACGTTTTTTGTCTTATTGCAACTCGCCTCTGTTCTGGACTTGCACAAACTGCGTTGCAATGCAATCATTTTCCAAAATGTAATTTATGTGAAAATATGAAGTCTGTAAACGTCCATTAACACGGGCCAGAGATGCTGAAGATGGACGCACAGAAAAAAATACTGTAGCAGGTAGATCACTCACTGTTCATGATGCACGAACTATTCGAAGAAAATCCTCAATATTGATTTGGGGGTTTATATGAATATGTTTCTGAGGGGAACTGACTGTCTTCAGAAAAGTTTACGTGGTATTTTCTTTTCATCTCGTCTCTGTATAATTCATAATAGGGACTTTAAGCAACAACAGCTGATGGAACGGCAACGGCGATTTGACGTAAACTGTTAACTACCGTATAGGGCTGTGTATCACCAGCAAAGTCACGATACGATACTTATCACGATACAGAGGCCACGATACGATGCGTATCACGATACATGACTGCACTGAATTTCACCTCAGCAGAATTTAGAAAAACAGCTGTTTATTAGACTCTGCTTACTATAGTGCCATTTCTAACTATTGGCAGAGCAGGCAGTTGACCTCTGCATTATGAAGGGCCTCCATAACTGTACCACAGTACAATATAGGTAATGGCATATGTTTCATGTTTACATTGTGCACTCCCCACCAGGTACAATATTCTGATTGTTTGCATCTTGTTTTTAATCCCATAAATAATAATGTACTTGTTCTAATAAATTTATATTGTAATGTACTCATTCTAATATATTTAAAAAATCATTTACATTGCTGGTAGGTTATCATTGCACAAATTAACACACTCTTTACAATAAAAAAAACTAACCTAAACTAAGTTCTAAACTAACGCGCTGTCTTCACTGTATCTAACGCACACACGCTCAAGGCTGATTTATACTCGAAGCGATGTCGTTTCGCGTGGCGGAGTGCACAACATTTTTTGTAACTTTCCGCCCAGCTCCGCTTCTGAAGATGCACGAGTTCAAAGCAACTCTAGCCAAACATGCACGTCTGTGCCAGCATTTGTGTGAAACAGAAGCAGTTTGATGTTAAGTGCAGTCACACAAACAGATCACGTTGCGGCCGAACTCAGGCATTCAGGAACAAACTTTTTAGCGCTGCCCCGCAGTTTTATCAACTAAATAGCTTAGTCGCTCAAGAGCTACATTATCTTTCTCAACAAGGAGCTGGTAGCATCATTGTTTCTAAAGGAATTAAAGCCACAGCTTTACTGTTAATAGAGAAACACGGCAAAACGGTGGTAATTCATACATACACAGCCTCTCTCTCTCTCTCTCTCTCTCTGTGTGTCGTAAATGAACAGTTGATGAATTACACTTTTCTGAGAATAGAATATTGAAGTGGAGATCGCTAAACTGCAAGCTAACCGCTGTTTTCAGAAAGCAAGCGTGTTTATCCACAGTGGAGAGAGAGCGCATGTGCACATGGTTGCCAGGTTGACAAAGATAAGTAACACACTTAGCAGATATTTCCGTATTGTGCAAGTGTAAAGCTCTGTTTTGGGGATTACGTTTCTTTATATCAGGCAACCCAGTTGTGTTCCTCTGCGGCCAGATTAAACCTTGTTGTAGCCTATATATGCTCTATTAAAATAGAAACCTCGCACTTTTCTACTCAATTTTAAACGTAAAATTTTAAACAAATTAAGCGTGGTCCACTGCTGCACACGTGCCACAATATCGATATATGGCCAGCTGTATCGATACTTGTATCGTCAAATCTCTGTGACGATACATTGTCGTATCGATATTTCGAACACAGCACTACTGCTGTAGCCAAAGAGCACAA